TGTTCTCTGGGAATATCCAATTACATTGTACTTCCTTCCCTGTGGGTAATGTATAGGTAATATTTTTTCGCGAAATGTAAATTTTAAAAGCTTCCTATTAAACTGTCAGTGCAAAGAAAATTGTAGTAAATATATCAGCATAGCTCGACACTTCGACAGCTTAATGTATTGGCTTCAGAATAGAGGAAGAGTCGGGTACGTGTATACGATTCAGTTGGCAGGATGAATACAGGGATTTTAAGACAAAGTTTAATTATTATGTTTTCGTAACTTTTTAATGAGGAACTCGACTAATTTCAAGCCATGTTAGAGCAGCGCTACAGCCGTCGCGTCGAGCTTCACGAAATGCTGCGCATGAATATGAACCTCTAGCATGGCTTGAAGATCGCCGAGTTCCTCGTCAAACAGTTACGTGAGTAAGCTGAATCCATAATAATTAAATTAGTATGTCTCACGAAAGTAATGATATAAACAAAGACAAAGTGTATTTCAAACATGTATAAATTTATTAATTAGGTCGTCATTATCGGCATTTATGAAAGTTCACTGTTAAACCAAGGCTTCCCTTGTTAAGAGTGTCACAATTCTTACGCTGTGCAGAAAGATCGAAAATACAACTAAGTTAATCGAAAATTTCCACTAATGTTGTCAATACTGCGCCATTAGACTGATATATAAAGACACGACTGAAGAAGTGTAACATGTACTAGACATAATAGGGGAGGATGTGGGTTTCAGTGAATCTATGAATGCTATTTTAATTATGTGATTACTTCTCATCGTTGATAATTTTAATTTTGAGAACATATTAATCAGGAGGACGTAAACAGGACTATTAACGACCTACCGCTGGTTAACTATCTTTATTGAAGCATTAATTATTATAAATAGTTCAGGCAAATTCCGTGAACCAACCGCTATTTGTCACTTGTCATCTGTGCGTCAATACCAGTGGAAGGGTCAGCCAGGTGAGAATGGAACTTTGAAACATTTGTCATCATTGTATGAACTTCGTAGGAAAATTTGCGGTTATCAAAGCTAACCCGTAAAAAGGAAGTTTTCTATTGCTTATAAGACGTAAAACATTGATTTGTGCCTACTTGAAGAAATCGGTAGGTAGACTTTGGAGGTGAACTTTATTTTCGTTCGTTATGCTTGCAACTAACGCTCAAAAAACCAGTCACCTCAGTAGGCATGAAGATGGGTGTACTAATGAGACATTTATCAAATGCGAAAAGAACTACATACTCCATTGATCATGATCATCACCAGTCGGAATTCGTCCACAATGCTTTCCTATAATACCCATGCTATCCCCATGCTTGATAATTTGGATACCGATGTTATGTCATCGAAAACTTACAAAGATGCTGCTGCCAACTTTGTAATAGTTGGTTGAAGTTTAAGTCTACATCGTAGTTTATTTTTTATTTAGGTATTTATTTACTAGCTGACTCGGCAAACTTCGTACCGCCTAAAAGTTTTTTCTTACCTTTTAAACCTTCCCTAGACTTCCACGAACCGATCAAAACCAAAATTAGCCAAATCAGTTCAGCCGTTCTCGAGTTTTAGCGAGACTAACTAACAGAAATTCATTTTTATTTATATAGATAGATTCCACTTACATTTACCTTTACAGGTTAATGCCCAATTAGTTACCTATATACCAATTTTTATTTGGGACCAGGGGTATATGAGTAAAGGGGTCAATGTCGTCTATGGATATCCGCAACATCAAAACAGTATTGCTGGTCTTTGGGGAAGAAGTTTTATTAGGACTCCAGTAACCGACACACGACGAAATACAATGCAAGAAGCATTGACTTACAAGTTACACTACACGGGTCCAATACTTCTAAACAAAAAGGATTTCTAAAACAATTGAATTTAGATATGAGGAATATTAAAATTAAAGATGTTGGGTTTTCACATGTAAAAGTGTTCAGGTCATGTAATAGACCAAACCCAATTGATTCACATTATTGGTATTTTATGAAACGTGACCAGACTATCAATGCCTGTTCTTAAGGAATAAATAAAATAACAATACATTAATAATGTTGTTATTTCCTCAATATACGTTTTCCTGCAGGAAAACCGCGGTGTAGTTGAAGCTGATATTAATTTTTGTAAATTTATGTACATAATATGTGTATCTTACAAATTGGTGGTCGGATTCAAGGACTTTAGCTCATCGTTTTACCTCTTTGATAACTCTAATGACATGGCAATATGCTCGGCAGCTATTATATGAGACTTATAATTGATGTTAATACTATGGTACTTAATTGTAACATCCAAAGTCGGTTCTTCTTCACTTCTGCTGACTCTTGGAGATTGACATTTGTGATGTTGTCTTCTCAGTAGCACAAAAATGTAAATGGTATCTTCATTAGTCCTTTAACACTTTTTAAGTTTTTTTGTCTTTTGTCCGCCTTTACGATTGAGTCCGCACATTTCAAAAGTACCATTTAAGGCAAAAGCAAATGCTTTAAAAGACAATGACAAAAATAGTTTATTCGAAGCTATCATTATTTGCGCAAGAAGCTAGCTAGGCGCCAATTTTTGATAGTGACTAACAGATATAAATACAGAATTATTCGTAATTCATCATTTCCATCGCCAACTTTAAACAGATTAGTGCAGAAAGTAAGATATGACTGACTAAAGCGTCAACTGACGAATAAGTAATTATTATTTAAGTTAATGATCTTCTAAGTCCCTTAGTTCTGCAAGTGTCCGCCATAAATCAAGTGGCGCCAGTGGGTCGTGAGTCACGGATCGACGACGGCGACGCAGGCGCAGCCGTACCTACTATTTTTCAGCTAATTCTATTTTCAGACTGAATTATTAATTGCTCACTTAGTCCGTCCAGTAACAATCGAGTTGTGCTTGATAAAATAAATATAATTAACGAAGCTGAAGGGAAGTTGGTGCAGACAATTATATTATTTATAGAAGTAGATAGATGTACATATAAATAATTATAATAATCATCTGAGTTAGTTTACACGTGTTATTGAATGGTTTGTTTTAAGACATAAGATATGTTCTGAAAAGTGCAAATCTTTTTGCCGCTAGAAATCTTGGATATTTGCGTAGAAATCTTAATAATTTATAATTGCTGTAAAGCTTAAATTTAAGTAATTAGTCGCAATCATTAATCCTTTCTAATATTATAAATCGGAAAGTGAATTTGTTTGTTTGTTCCGCTTTCAAGCCGTAACTACTAAACCGATTGCTTTGAATTTTTGCAAACGTAAAGATAGAAGTCTGGATTAATTAATAATAGGGTACTTTTTATCCCGGAAAAATTTGATATTCTCGAGGGAAAACGAAATTATTGGTATAGATGGCGCTGTGTGTATTGGTGTATGTCACATAGGCTACTTTTTATCCTTTTGTGACGCGAGCGAAGCCGCGGGTAAAAGCTAGTTTAAAATGAACCAAACTAGTTACTCCGTGGTAAGTAATAACTAATAATATTTCTATTGAATCTTACCTACAAACTCCTCCTCTAGTCTTTTAGGTATCCTAGCGCTGATTTCTTCTTTGACATCGTCTACCAGTCGGTATATGATATTGTGGAGTTTGATTGGAATCTTTTTCTTCTTGGCCTCAACTGTAAGAGCCGGTGGACAGTCTACGTTGAATGCATATATCACAGCTTTGAATACTTCTGCTGTCTGAAATTTATAGGCATTTTATTAACCTTTTCGCCGCCAACGTACACAAAACGCAATGCCTCGCCGAGCGCCAAGCTATAAATGTATAACTAAATATACAGTAAACAGTAGTGATGGGGATATCGTCATATCGATGAATAAGATTTGTACGCGTAAAGTTAAGATTTAAAGTTGATTTTACAAATATAAATAAAAACTGATGAAATATATCCAGATTTATTTTATTTCACAGCATCCTTAATAAGAAAAACAGTATAAATTATGAGTATCAAAGAAACTAATACATTTCTTGATTAGAACTATAAGGAATAGGGAACATCTCTATTTGTTTCATGATGTCATTCTTTAACTTCATATCAAGTTTTTATTATTTTTTAAAAGAATAAAATCGGGAGAAGATTCTGTTTATACATTTGGGTGTAAATTATGCCTCTTAGTTCTTACTGACCTCTAAATCATTAGGAGTAACGGGTCCAACTCCGAAATGTACCAGGTCGAGCTTCACCCTGTCATGTTCGTCATAAGTCTCCAGAATGTCCAGTATAGCTTCCACTGAACCATCCACGTCACCTGAACAAATAAATAAAAAATCATGAAGTCAAGTTATTCCATTTCAAAAGGGGAGATTTTGATTGGAGATGCGATTTTTGGATTTGCTCGTCTAGAAATCGGTTATGAATGGGCGTATTCTATTGAGATTCAACTAAATCCGATTAAAACTCATTGGAAAGGGGACTTATGGGTAAAAATGCTATTTCTACACTTTTATAGATTTTTAATAATTACTATATTGGTTGCTTATGATTGGGACAGAAGTTCTTGTTCTAAATCAGTTCTTACCAACCTTTGACAATGACAGTGAGCGTGGGGTGCGTGTCGTACTGGATCATCTTCTGTCGCGGGCCTTCGGCGCGCAGCTTGTACCGGCCGAGCGCGCGCTTGTGAGCGAGGCGGGCCGTGTAGGCGCGCTGGTGCGCCGCCTCCCTGGCCGCGATGACCTCCACGTCGGCTGCCTGCTTCTCCTTCATACGCTGCGAGTGGCGCCAGCGCATTACCTCGCCGGCCCGTTTCTGAGGTAGATCAATAACATAGCATGTTTAAATAGGATTTAGCTGTGAATTTATATGACCATTGCAAAGGCAACCATCTTTGAAATAAATTTGTACCAGCGCCACGAAGCGATTTTCGCGCTACGAAGGACACATTTGGAGCAATGGTCGAGTATTTACCTATGAAGAAAAAATAAAGTATGAAATAACATAGAATTGAAACTTACCTCCGAGCTGACTTCTAGAACTTGGTCCCCAGCAGAGGGCAGCTCTCTCCAGCCGAGCACTGACACGGGAGTTGAGGGAGGTGCTTCTTGTACTGCTCTACCTTCTGCTGAATTCAATACTCGCACCTATTTACATATACAAATTTTATTAAACAAATACCATATTTAGATTAAAGTAAATATGAAAAAATGGAAAAAGGTACTTTGGAAATTCAACAATAAAAAGCATGTATTGAAAAAAGATCGTTGATAAATAAAAAGCTGCTTTCCAAAGGTCTTCTTATTTTGTTTGTTTGTTCCGCTTTCAAGCCGTAACTACTAAACCGATTGCTTTGAATTTTTGCAAACGTAAAGATAGAAGTCTGGATTAATTAATAATAGGGTACTTTTTATCCCGGAAAAATTTGATATTCTCGAGGGAAAACGAAATTATTGGTATAGATGGCGCTGTGTGTATTGGTGTATGTCACATAGGCTACTTTTTATCCTTTTGTGACGCGAGCGAAGCCGCGGGTAAAATCTAGTACTGATATAATTAATTAATTATTTTGTCTGTATTTGGAAACGAGGTCCTATTCTAAAAAAATCTCCTGGCTCGTGGTTGTTCTAAAACCATAATTTACGTAGATATAGAAACATAACATAACATAATATTTAAAAGGTCCTTATTTTTATATGGAGTAGGAGGCAAACGACCAGACGGATGGTAAGCGAACGCCGGCTATGGACACCCGCAACACCTAAGGAGTCACAGGAACGTTGGTGGCCTTTTAAAAAGCTCTTTTCTTGAAGGTTGTATCGGTCATCAATTGTATGACAAGGACACGGGCCGAGAGTCCGTGAAGAATTAATCTGTAACATTAGATATAAAAAAAAGGTCGTATCGGTCGTATGCTACAGTTCATTTCATAGTAACAGTTGAATTTGTATTGTAACTTTCGTGAGACATACTAAATAAATGATTATGTTTTCGGCTTACTCACGTAGTAATTCGACGAGGAACTCGACTAGTTTCAAGCTATGCTAGAGGCTCATATTCATGAGCAGCATTTCGCGACACGCGACGCGGCGACTGTCGCGCTGCTACGTAGCGTAGCAGCAGCAGTAAGTAGCAGCGCGACAGTCGCCGACAAACTGAAAACATAATAATTTAAACAGCTGAATTGCTTCTACTACCTAATGAAATGTAAGCTAAGCCTAAACGTCACCAAGTTAATGTCTGGTTGAAAGTAGGATTAGACTACACAGCAGTTTATTACCTTTGGGGATTAAGGCCACACCCTGTATAAATATTAACTGTCAAACATCTTGTTCTATATTTGATGGGCCGACATTTGACCACTATCTCGTCTGGTAGTAAGCGATGCTGCGGTCTACGATGGAGCACGTCGACCCATAAGCAACCTATTCACTCGGGCCTTGAAGACACCCAGGTTACCTATATCAATCTGTTATCTGGACCACAATATCATGACATCAGATCTATGGTTTGGTTATGGTTTATATCATTCAACATTAAGCCCTTTGGGTTTTGAAGGGGTAGACAGATGTGCACATTTCCATAACACTTTTTTACCAATCATCAGAAATTAACCTATTGCCTATCACTGGGACTTACTTCAGGCCCCGTGCTGTTATTGAAGTTTTTTGTGTAATACATCCCAGCCTTACTTGTGAATTTCGACCTGTTAGGCGATTCTATAACTTTCGATTCGAAGGGTGGTACAGAGACCTGACAAGGTAGGTATTAGGTGACATATTTTAATTATCCTAAAAGCTTATATACAGCCATAGCTATCCTTGAAAATAAGGTCATCCAGCTATATGAAGACCAACGTTAATGTTATTAAAAAACTAAAACAATATTACTCCTTCTCATTTTTAATTAAGTAAAACAAATAGAGCTCTTAATAATTATGTATGTACATAAATTACTGGCCGTTATCCGGTTAACCTGTCACTTCTAATGAAACGCTAAGCTAAAATCCATTGCGTTCCTACCCCTACATGTACGGATATAAAATACGTGCGGCGTCTGTGTAGGGTTACTTTCCCCTACCATTTATGTACGTTGGTTTCGATTTATTTCACTTATTTAACTCGTCGAGTACCGGTTTTGTAGACACAATTATAGAACAATAGGTTGCGGTCACCGGTGACCGCTTGGTATTTGACAGTTTAATTTTAAAGGCAACTCTTTCTTATAAAATTTGTGATGAATGATGTGCATTATTGCAATAAATTCACGTGGGAGTGTCCCAAAAACATTCAATTGGAAAATAAATGTATGAATAATTTTCTGGTTTTAGGAAATATTATTTGAGTTACATATAAGTAGTTAACATTATCAATGTTAGGGAAAAGATAATACCTACCAAATATAAATCATAACAAATAGTAAGTAGACTAGACAGCTAAACTATAGTATGCAGGAATACAATTTACTTTTAATAGTTATGTATTTATTTTGCATATCTAACTCGCATCTAAGTCATCTTTTCCACCTGCCTAAACATTATAACTTTAGCGCATTTTTAAAAGAGATCAAATATCGACATTCCTTTTAACAATAACATTCGACAATTAAATACCACGTAACAATACGGCCATTGAACTCATTGTTCTAAAAAGAAGTCGAGTTGCAATAGTAATTCCCGGCGCGTCGGGGGCGAAGGCGTAGGGCGCCACGGCGGCGCGTAGCTCCCGCCGGTCGGGCGCCGCCCCGCCAAATAAACGACGCATATTATAGTCTGTGCTACTTCAAAAACTTCCCTCTTTGTTAGTTATTTATTCATCAGTTTTTGAACGGTACTGTGGTATC